TTGGGAGGCCAAGGCGAGTGAAACACCTGAGGTCAGGCATTCCAGACCAGCCTGGCCAACTTGGTTAAACCCCATCTCTACTGAAAATATAAAAATTAGTGAGGCGTGGTGATGACCACCTGTAATCCAAGCTACTCAGGAGGCTGAGGCAGGAGAATTGCTTGAACCTGGGAGGTGGAGGTTACAGTGAGCCAAGATTGTGCCACTGCACTCCAGCCTGGGTGACAGAGTGAGATTCTGTCAAAAAAAAAAAAAAAAAAACCTAGAGACAAGTTTGGGTCTGGTTCACATGCTCATCTTTGGACCTACCAGGGCGATTGTGGGTATCAGGCACTCTGACTCAGCCAAGATTATATGCCCATGTCTCTGTGTGGAGTGGGTGAAGGAAGAGGAAGGAAATGATGTGCAGTTTGATATTAAAAGTAGGGGGAGGTTTTTGGGGAAATAGTAATAACCAAGGAAAGGGAACCTGAACATTTATGATATCCTGTAGTCAATACCCCCTTAATTTATTTTTTGCATGGCTTAAAGCCAGGGCTATTATTTTCCATTTGGAGCTTTCTGTTTTTATCTTAAACTTTTAATAAACATTTAAATTTCATCAGTTTGGATTTCTTTGCTGCCAGTAGTGGATATTTGCTTTAAAAAAAAAAAAACCAAAAAGCTATCATTTAATATATCCACCTTTCTACTTACACTGCATCTTGAGAAGAATTATATTGGCCCATTGGACACGTTTTCTCCCAAGAATTTAAACTGTGAAGTAAGGGATGAAAGGATATGTGCCAGTGTTTGAAGGACCAGGCAGGCCTGTGGCATGTCTTTGCCTGTGATTCCTGTCAATTATTGTATCCTGGTTCTGGTTTTCTAGTTCTCTTTTGAGCGGGTTCTTATACTCTTTCAGGAAAGTTTCTTTTTGCTAATAATGGCCAGTGTCAATTTCCAGTGCTCACAAGCAAGAACCATGCTTTCAGAAGATTGGTATGAGAAGGCCACTGCTATTCTCATGAGACTTGTAGGACTCTTTGACAGTAGAGAAATCACAATTACAACTTCTGTTGTTTGCCCTGTATGTTGCTTCCCTTTGGTAACAGAGACTCACGTTAAATGAAGCCAAGAAGTTACGTTAGAGGCTTTGCTGCCCAATATGGTATTGCTAGTCACAGATGACTCTTGAAACCTAAATTTAAATTAGGATTTTAAAAAATTAAAATTCAGTTTCCTCAGTCACACAAACATGTTGCTAGTGACTATCATATTGGAAGGCACAGATTATAGAATATTTCCACCATCAAAGAAAGCTCTATCAGACGACACTGTTGGAGTATAAACTCCTCAAGGGTAGGCATTCTGTCCTTGTTATTTTCTGATGTATCCACAACACTTAGAATGGGCTCAGCATGTATAGGTACTCAATAAATATTTGCTGAATGTTGAAACAGCATATATTGGCGGGCCAAGGAGGGCAGATCACTTGAGGTCGGGAGTTCAAGACCAGCCTGACCAACATAGGGAAACCCCATCTCTACTAAAAAGACAAAAAATTAGCCAGGCATGGTGGTGGATGCCTGTAATCCCAGCTACTTGGGAGGCTGAGGCAGCAGAATCACTTGAACCCAGGAGGCCGAGGTTGTGGTGAGCCAAGATCACGCCATTGCACTCCAGCCTGGGCAACAAGAGCGAAACTCCATCTCCAAAAAAAAAAAAAAAAATAGAAATAGTATATATCAGTGTATCAGCTGCCTGCCACAGAAGACCTAGACCATGATCCTTACAGCTGACTTCCCTGTACTTTGAAGGGAACTTGAAATAGCGCCACCTTAATGTTATTCCAAAGTTTCCATTTAAACTCATTCATAACTACATTGTCTATTGTAACTTGGCCCTCCAGTTCACCTACTTTATAATTGCTTTAAAAGTATAAAGTACTTGATCTCATAGTTACTCTTCCCCCAACTTACTCATCCTTCACCTTCTGATTTCTCTCTATCACCTACTCATTAACTCATTAAAACTTTTAACAATTTCCACTGTAGCCTTTGGAATCCCTATTCTGATACCAATAACGTTTTTTGTAATCTCAACATTTTTTTGAATGCCTCTCCCCCTACTGAGAACTGCTTTCTTCTCATGGCATATAACCTGGAACGCCTTTTAGGTAGAAATTACTCTTCCTTCCTCTCTCCTGCAACAAGAGACCAAGAAGAGAAATCAACATTCGTAAACCCCGTTTGCGCTTCCAGTTCATTGTTTGAGTATGGTTAAAGTGATTTTTTTCTTTGATATTTGTTGCATCCAGTTTTATACCTGTCTTTTATCTCTTCCAGTTAATGACCTACAGTGTATTCCTTAATAGTCACTGAGGACTTTGATATCTGGCTCAACTTTTTTCTGTTTTGTTTCTCTCGTCATCATTGTTAGTGACTATGTATTCATAGTGTTGAACTACCCAACACCTTAGCCTTATAGTTTATTCTGTCTGCACTCTGGCATTCTTTTATCTTTATCCTACTTTAGCATCTTGTACACCTAGACACTTCTTGGACCTTGTTGTCACCTAGAACTGATCACTTCAAAGATGTAAATATCTTTCCTTTCTCTTATCCATGCTACTCTCACTGAAGATACTGATATTGGTAGTCTTTGGACTTCTCTTTTTCTTCCAGCCTATTATCCTGGCTCCCTTGCTTCCTTTTCAGCTTGGAAACTGATGTTCTTACTTGTACATGAGCAAAGGATATGAATTTTCTCAACTTCTTGCCATATTAGAATTTCGGTATCTTCATCCATTCTCTCCTCCCTTTCTATTTTGAAAATGTCCTTTCCCCCTTTACTTCTTAAGTGAACAGTGCTTTAAATTCCATATCTCTACTTCCTCTACACTCTTTGTCACCTATATCTTTAATTTCTCTATCTCGGACTCTTATTTTTCCTTCAAGATCTAGTTCAAATTGCATCTCTTTTATATAGCCTTAACTTATCCTCTAATGAAAGTTAATTGCAGTTTTTTTCTGTTCCTTGTGTGTCTATTATAAGGTATATTTTCTTTTGACTTACTGTGACACACCTTGAGTATTCAAAACCTAATAAAAAGAGATACTGTACTCCTAAATTTACAACACTGTCTTTTGAAACATTATCTGCCTTTTTGAACTTTAATACCATTAGTCTTATTCCTATCTTATTTAAGTTAAGATCCGTTATCCCATAGAATCCTAAATGTAATGATCTTAAATCATGGACTAATTTTCTCCTTAAAAAAATTAGTTTTAGATTCTAACCCAGTACTGCTTCAAGAAAATGAACTGAAGAAGGCCTTGTTGTATAGCATCTTCTATAGTCTACCACAATGGTGCTTTTACTTAGTTCATATTTCATTTAGTTTTTCTCCCATCCTTTCATATTTTAATGATTTTTCAGATACTCTTTACCATTGGTTTTTTTGGCTTCAGCTTTTGTATGTAGGGCACAATTGTTTCTCTTCATGTCTGTGTAACTTACATAGAAAGCATTAGGCCATGACTTTCTTAACTGGGTCATGTTTCTTTTAATTTACCAATTGTATCCAGATTCTCATCTGGAGCTAGGATATACTTAGGACCTAAGTTTTCTAACTGTAGGCCTGAACTGGGACCCACAGTGTTCTCTCTTCCGTTTTCATCTTCGTGATTTTGTGGAAAGAAACCTTTACTAAGTCAGTAACCTAAAAACCCCAAGTTAGCCACCCTGCTGAGAGGCTGAGGCAGGAGGATTGCCTGAGCCAAGGAGTTTGAGGCCAGCCTAGGCAATATAGTGCAATCACATCTCTTACTTTAAAAAAAAAAAAAAAAGGGGCACCCAGTTGGTAACATTCATAAACATTTAATGGAGGAAGTGCACAGAAAGTTTGAAAGAGTAATCATGTAACTAGAATTATGAAATAAGAGTGTGACTGGTACTGACAGTGGAGCAAAAGGAAAAGGACTGGCCCTCTTTAGGTTCATCGTTTCTGGCATTTGTATGTAAACGTCTCAGGAAGCAATGAGTCTTATCTTCAGGTTTTTTTCATGTTATATTATCCAATCATCTCACACATTTAAACAGCTAATCCATGATTTGGGTTGGTTCATTCAGTCTGCCAACAAATGTTTATTGAGTCCTTATTGTGTTTAAAGCACAGACCTAGATTCTTGAGAGTGTTGTCCAGATAAACACATTCTACTTGGGCAGATAAGACATGCTAATAATACCAAGCTATAAATAGGTGCCGAGTGCATTGTATTTGAGATAGGCGTTTGGAGAGTTTTGAAAGGGAGGAGGCTGCAGGGCCTATCCTGCCAAACCTAATTAGTGTAATGTCTTCCTCATGAGGTTACTCATTTGGTCACTAGAGCTGCTCTGCATTTTAAGGATCTGGCTGTAGATGTATTATTCCCTTTGAAGAGTCTGCAAATGTTTAAGTATTCATTCATCTCAGGCATGAAAAGCTCCATAAGATATTTTATAGAATACAGGATGGTGTGTTGTATTAGTTTTCTTTTAAATCTGTAGCCTTGTAGAATGAAAGTGAAGTAGCGTGTGTCTGAAAGAATTTTGTAAATTGTAAAATGCTATATGGATGTAAGTTGGCCTCTCCTAAACTAGATTACTTTCTGATGCCTTAGCAACACATTCTATAATTTTCCATGAAAGACCACTTGTTCAGGCTGTTCTTCATGTATATCAGAATCCTACCTGTCAGGTTTTTATCCATGTAGCATTCCCTGGAACCCCTGGACATAGTTGATTTCTCATCCTCTCTATGCCCCTAGTTTGTAGATTTTCCTATCACAACAACAGTAATTTGTTTTACATTTTTGTTATATGTGAACACAACCTAGCTTCTCAAAGTCTCAATCTTTGGTTGTATTTGTGCTTTTGCACAGTGGTGTCCAACAGGCATTCAATAAAATGACTGTTTAATTCAGTGAAATAAATGAATCGTGGATTCTTAATGTCTTTTGTTGGGTTGTGATTTTTAGGTTAAAACTGCAACAACAAATTGTGACTATTGAAAATGCAGAGAAGGAAAAAAATGAAAATTCTGACCTAAAACAGGTATGATTTTAGCAAATATTTTCCTTTTATTTTTTCAAGTGCTTCTTTAAATTTGTGTTTTGCAAATTTAAAAAAAGATTTGCAATCAGTATTTTTAGAATCTAACCACAATTGGTAACATGTTGTTGGAGGTAATATGTAAAGATAAAATGTTTAAACCTCTATACTTTAATAAGCTGCTTTTGCTAACTGGTATTATTCTTAAGATATATATATATTTTTTTTACTTATGCTGTGGCCCATGATAATTTTGTAAATTACAGTTATAAGGACAGTATTTTAATATCCTGAATTTTAAAAACTCAATAGAAATATCCAGGTTTTAAGTTACTTGTGTGATTGACTTGTAATTTTATATCATGGGGTATTTTTGCTATAGCCCTATGAAATCCAAGATTTGTATTTGTGGAAGGAAATTTGTATTTATAATTAAAGTTATTTGGGTTCAGGAAAGATTTGTATAAAGTTGGGTAAAACATGGAGGAGTGATCTTTTCTGAATTCTATTTTGTTTTTTGTTGTTGTTTTTTTCCCTATAAATTATGAAGTAGGAATCCATTTTTAGAATTCATGCTCATATGCTAGTTGGTACTGCTTTTCATGTGCAGTTATGGTTTCTAAGTCTTAACTAGATGGACATAATGTTTGATACCCAGAGAGAAGTTATTTAGTATCATTGGCATTTGGGCTTTCTGTCATGCTATGCATATGGAGAGGTATTAAGCTCTTTGAAGGTTGCTTATTCAAGCAGCTGTAATACAGATTTAATATTTGCCACTCCAGTTAAAAATAGTGAATAGTTCTACATGGAGAAATTCATTCTAAAAGAGAAATCTGAGACATACCATTTAGTTTTAGTCTGCTAAAAATTGCTCTGTGGACATTCAGAATCGTATATGAATTGGTTTTGTTACCATTAGGAAGTAATGGGATTATTACCCATTTATTTACTTTATTATATAAGAATCTTGTTTCTTTTTACCCTTGAATCTCATAATAGGTTCTTTTGATCCCTATCTCTTGACTGTCTTTACTCTGAAATGTCTCTCAGAAAATGGCTAAGAGAGATAAAAGGAAGTGAAAGGAAAATAAGAACTTTTATTGTTTATTAATTGGTAAAATAGTTTGTGGGGGAGGTATATATAACTGTCCCAAATAAAGATTATTTAGATATAATTTAGAAGAGTGTGAATCTTTCTAGCCTGTTAATCTTTAATTAGACTTCTCATGAGAAAAAGTACTCCCAGATGAAGGTAAATTGGGATGGAAAAAAAGCTTTGAGTGACAGTATGCAGTTTGGTAAATGGCTGTAGAGGCCAAGGAATCTGTAGCGTGTATTTGATTTCCCAGAGCATCTTTCTTCTGCCCAGCACTGGACATATGAATGGAAACCTTTTAAAAACAATGTGAGAGTGATCCTTCTCATATTTACACTGAACAATTTTGATTGCTTGGAGAGTAGAACTTCTGGAAGGTTGCTGATCTCAGGGTATGTGGGAAGAGGAGGATGGATTTTTTTTAGCTGCTTTCCCAGCTGACTTGCTTTTAAAATCAGTTTTTTTCCGTAGGAGGTAGGGGAAGGCTAGAGTGGTAGGAGACTGACTCTAATCACTGGATTCCCTTTCCTCATCTCACTGCTAATCCCCCTGATAACCTTTCTGTCCATTCCCAATACCTCTCCTGGCCTTCATATTTTGGGAAGAAGAGGGAGGGGACTCAGTGACTGAGGAATATACTTCTTGATAGTCTCTGATTATAATAAGAAATGCTCCTAGGTGCTGCTATTTGTTATTTCCTTCAGGGGGCATCTTCAAGGGCACACCAGCTTGAGGGAGTATTTGCAAAGGGAGATGCTCAGTATCTTCTGCTTCTCTCATACCTTACTGCATTTATTTAGTGGCCTTTATCTTCTTTCTTCTCTTTTAAGCAAATCAGTAGTTTGCAGATCCAAGTGACCTCACTTGCACAGTCAGAGAATGACTTGCTGAATTCAAACCAAATGCTGAAGGAAATGGTGGAGAGATTAAAACAAGAATGCCGAAATTTTAGAAGCCAAGCTGAAAAAGCGCAACTAGAAGCTGAAAAGTAGAGTTTGCTCTTTATGTACAAACTATTTTTTCTTTTTTCTATATAACATATAGTTATGTTAGTAATGATTCCAATGTTGATTATATTTTAGAAACTAGTTACAAATACACTTTAATAGTATACAGTGGTATACTGAGGTAATAATGTACTTTATGTTTCTATAGAATGACCTATACTGACTCAAATTCTTTTAAAAAAGGTAAAATTAAGACATATTAAAATTCTGACAGCATAGTATTCTGAAAAACCTCAAAGAAAACTTTTTTTATTCATTGATTAAATGAAAACATTTCTTCAAAAATCTATTCTTCTGAATGCCAGAGAACAGAATGGTTTTTTGTTTTGTTTTGTTTTGTTTTTGATGTGCAAAACTTAATTCCTTCTAGAACTAGTCTCTTGGATTTTCTTTGAAAAGCTAATTTATTTGTTTATTTTTTTTTTTGGTCTTAAAATTTGTTACTAGTAGATAGTAGGGAGTAAAACTGGTAGGGATAAAATTATTGTGGTGATGTTCAAGATCTTATACCCTCTGGAAACATTTGTTTAGATGTGGTAGAATACTGTACTATTTTGTATTTGCTTTGTCTTTATGTTTGCCTTATAAGTAAGTTTTTATTTTAATCTACAAAACATAATTCTTTTCAAATTTCTTCTTCTGAAGGCCACCATGCCACATAAAACTGTGTTTCTTCAGTTTTTCTATTATTACATATTCTAAGGTTTGTCCATGCTTTTATATATGGGGTTGAATTTCAAGAAAAGGAAGGAAGCAAGATAAATATCCATAGCATGTTGTGACATTTCAGATGATCCAACTTATTTTTCTTTTATTTTGTAAAAACCAAAAACATGTGCTTGGATTTCTCAAGTGGTTGATTGAAACGAGCTTAATAATTCTATGACAGTGTAGCTAGCAAATTTAAGTAATTAATCATTGGTTTCTAAATAATATTCATAGAATTGTATATAAGAAAATAGCTGTACGAAGGGTCAATGGAATGTGATTTTAGTTCCAGCTAAGATACTTAAAATCTTGTATGACCTTAGGCAAGTAATCTAACTTCTCAGGGTTTGTTATTTTCATTTGTACTGCCTATAGTAGGAATATTAAAAAAATCATATAAAGTATGCAGAATAGCTTTAAAAATATAAGTTGTTATGATGTTATTTTATCATTCATATGCATTTTACTCTAGTCAGAAGACATACTGCATTAAGATTTGATACCAGGCTTGATTTTCTTAAACCAAATTTATGAGGACAGATATTTGTAGTTTGATGGTTATTATACTTCACACCTATTATCAAGTGTTTGTCTTGCCATTAACTAGATGTGAGCCCTTAAGTTAGCTAACTGCTCTAATCCTCGGTTTCCTCATTTGTAAAATGGACAGAAGTATAAAGGTGACAGAAACACCTAACTTGGGATTTTTGTAAAGAACAGATGATACAATACACATAGTGTTCTAAGTCCAGTGCCTTATTCACAGGAAGTGCTCAGTAATGGTGGGATTTGCAAACAAGTGGCCATACAGGAGGGCCTGCAGTTGGATAATTAAAAATGTGGTCAGGCAGGTAGTGAGTTTGCTTGTACTTGTGATATTTAATCCTATTTAATCCTAAGAACTTATTTAGCTTCCATGTTTTATATACATTCTTCTGACAGGACATTGGAAGAGAAACAGATACAGTGGTTGGAAGAAAAGCACAAGCTTCATGAGCGTATCACAGAGAGAGAAGAAAAGTGTAATCAAGCTAAGGAGAAACTTCAGCGAGCTGCAATTGCCCAGAAAAAGGCAAGTGGTTCTTATTAAAGTGATTTCTGGCCGGGCACGGTGGTTCACACCTGTAAGCCCAACACTTTGGGAGGCAGAAGCGGACGGATCACGAGGTCAGGAGATTGAGACCATCCTGGCTAACGTGGTGAAACCCCATCTCTACTACAAAAATACAAAAAAATTAGCCAGATGTAGTGGCGAGCACCTGTAGCCCCAGCTACTCTGGAGGCTGAGGCAGGACAATGGCATGAACCTGGGAGGCGTAGCTTACAGTGAGTCAAGATTGTGCCACAGCACACCAACCTGGGTGACAGAGCAAGACCCTGTCTCAAAAAAATAAAATAAAAAGTGATTTCTGTGGAGTAAAATATAATTAAATCCCTTTTTTCTTTTCTTTTTTCTTTTTTTTTTTAAGAGTCTGACTCCATGGCCCATAATGGATTGCAGTGGTGCGATCTCCATCCCCTGGATTCAAGCGATTCTCTTACCTCAGCCTTCGAATAGCTGGGATTATAGGCACGTGCCACCATGCCCAGCTAATTTTTGTATTTTTAGTAGAGATAGGGTTTCCCATGTTTGCCAGGCTGGTCTCAAACTCCTGACCTCTAGTGGTCCTCCCACCTCAGCCTCCCAAACTGCTGGGATTATAGGCATGAGCCACCACGTCCATCCTAATAAACTCTTATAGGAGAATAAATATATAGTTGAATCTAAGATTTTAGTGATATGTTTAATTTAATATATAAGCATGACATTTTGCTGTCAACCTTGCAGAAATACATTGGGAAAATCCAGACTGTCCAGCAGGTTTGTTTCTAAATTTTGTGTGTAAGTCAATTGTTTTGAGTTGACATGCATTTTTCCACACAGAAGGTGTTTTTCAGAGGGATAGTTTCCAGGCCAACCCATGGAAGTCATATTTTACACATTCTCCAGTTAAATTATAGTGTGATTAAGATTGTTTCATTTATGCCTAATGTCTGTTTTATCACTTTTGTGGTTAAAAGGCTTTTTTGTTTCCAATTCAGAAATACAAGAGCAAGTATTTCTTTGCTCCAGCAGGAGGAACTGGGACTCCCTTGGCTTCTGAAACCGCCACAGTAGTTCCCACAGCATTGATCCTTTTTAAGTTTTACCTTTTGCAGGCATACTTTTCTCCAGAACCTAACTTTGTTTTCTTGGAAACAGTCCAGGGCATCATGGGAATAATGTATCTAGATGGATCTTCTAAGTCAGTGGCTTACAACCTTTTTCTATTTCAGCAAACCCAAGGAATGTAACAGGTCCCATTAGTAACCATGACTCATGGCAGTGATTAAGGGAGGAGAAGGACATGGTAATCTTTTCAACAGGATTAGAGGAAGAGGAGGGACATGATAAAGTGTGTGTGTGTGTGTGTTATATGTAAAGTCCCAGAAATGATTTGAGTTGTCTCCATTTGATAAATTCCTTTAGTAGTAGCATTTGTTGTGGAGAGGAGAGAAGATCTGAGATGAGAGGAAAATACTTCTAGATGCAGTAACCATTATCTTAATATCTGTTTGTTTATTGGAAAGGTTAACTGTTCATATTTAGGTAAGAGAAAATAACTCTAGATCCTTCACTTATTCTGAATTTGAAAAATCACACATCAGTTCCTAGATCCCTTTTTATGTAATTGGATATCACTGCCAAATGTTGCTGACAGTTGGAGTGACAACATAAGTAGTCTAAAAGTCATTACTTCTCTACTTTCTTGGTCTCTGAATATTACTTTTATCTTCTCATAATGCTAGAAGTAGTAGTATTAGAAAAACAGCATTTATTATATAGGGATCCCAGTGTTTTATACCCAAATATGCACACTTGTTTGTTTTTCTGTATATGTCACTTTTTTTACTTTCTGTCGATGTAGGTACTGAAAAGTGTATGGATATTAATGGGATTTCAGAGGATTGTTTTATGACCTATGATCTCAGAAATCCTGCTGATTTTTGTTTGCACTGTGTTTGAAGCCTAGAAACATCTGAAGCCATGTTACAGCAAGAAATTGTAAGAGCTAAATTTTGAGACTTTAGGGATAAGTATCTTACAGATCAAATTCTAATTATTGAGGTTAGTTTGGGTTGAATTCTTTTGAAGCAAAAGTGACACCCAGTGGTGAGATTATCAGCTAATCATAAGTATACCAGAAGGAGGGGAGGAGGTGATATTTTAAAAAATCTGCAAAATATAGCCAGACCCCATCTCTACAAAAAATGAAAAAACTGTGCATGGTGGCACATGCCTATAGTCCCAGCTAGTTGGAAGGCTGAGGTGGGAGGATCACTTGAGCCCAGGAGTTCAAGATTGCAGAGAGCTGTGATGGCACCAGCCCTCCAGCCTAGGTGACACAGCAAGACCCTATCTCAGGGAAAAAAAATAAATAAATAAACCCAAAAACACTACAAAGTAACATTTCATTAGTATTGCAACAGGATGAGTTTTTTTTTTCCTACTGAAATGTCTGCCAGATGATGAGTGTGAAGATAGTAAATAGTCATTTTACTTTTTAAAATGTGGTCTGTGGATTGCGATTTAAGTCATAGTGAAATTGTTAAGGTCAATTCAGTGAATGATTATGACCTAGAGTTGTCATACTACGTGGGACACTGCCCTAGGAGCTTACAAGTTTACATCAATTAAAATAGAAAAACATCATGTGTAACTTAGAAATACAATTAAAAAGTATATAACTGTGTATAATTTTAGGACTGGAAGGGATCTTAGCATTCAGATGGCTTTTACAAGTTAGCAAACGAAGAGAGGAGGTACCCAAGATTACTTAACAAGTAAGAATCAAAAGTTGACTGAAATCTGCATGTTTCTGTTCTCAGTCTGGTGCTCTTTCCACTGCTCTGTTAGGCTTTAATTTCCTGCTTTCTTTGATTCCAAATACTTTACAGTTTTTCGCTTAATATAGCTATGGTCCATATGAGTTGTTTCTTATGTAAGAATAATCACTGTAAATTAATTTAACTCATACCCTTTTCCCATTCAAGTTAAAGATAATGCTTCTATTTGACAATTTTAGCTATCAGATTACATAAATATAATTCATAAGAGTGCAACAGACTTTTTAGGTTCTTTAATGCCAAAAGTCATAACATTTTTTGCCATAAGACTTAACAAAAGTCACAAATTATGATACCCAGGGCAGAAATAATCCTTTAGAGTTGCTTTCCTGTGAAAAGTTCTTTTTTCCCTCAGGCTAGATAAGATGGCTCACTGCCATCTGTGTTTACTCAGAGCTCCAAGCTCCTAAGCACAGAGATTGTCATTTCTGCTCTTTTTAAGTAGTCTTTATGTAAATGATGTTTTGTTGCATTGATTTGTTTGGAAAAGTTTGACCAGGATCTTGAGTTGGGATGCCCTTCTATGATTGATACATAGAGAGAGAATGTATTTCCCCTATCCCTACTGAAGAGAGATCTCTTGAAGCAAGCACAGTGAGTTGGGTTTTTCTTTTTTCTTGAGGAACCTGGAATGACAACTTGTTATTTTTATTCTAAGGTATATGTCTCTGAAATGCTTCTTGGTCAGATACTATTATGGATGTTTTCAAAAAAGAGATGAATCATAGTCTTGAAGTTGCAAAATATCTGATTGAATATGTTGTGTGGCCTAGATTATGCTATACACTGGGGGGAAATAGAAGCCGTGATTACTCCTTGGTTTTGATAACTATATAATCTTGTTGGAGAAATAAGATAACATGCAAGAAACACTTAAATAATCCCACTAGTCACTCCTGGGTGATTTATGCGGACTCTAAAATTTGAGAACCACTGTGCTAGATAGAAAAAAATCTGAAGACAAGGAGACCAGTTAGGAAGATGCTATAGTAAACTTAAAGTGAGGTAAGAAGTCTAAAATTGGGACTTGGAATATAGAAATGAAGGTGAAAGGTGACTGCCAGAGGTATTCCAAAGGAAAAAATAATTGCAGAATAGATTGGTAAATAAGAAAGAAAACTATGAAGTATTTTAGCTGTGAGAAGACGTAAGTGGAGTTACTATAATGGATTGAAGAACGTCAGTTGAGTAGAAAGATATGAAACATATGTCAGATAGGAAACGATGGCAGTGCCTCCATGTAGACATGACGTAGAGTCTTAGGATATTATGTAGGTAACTAGAAATAATAGAATGTGTATTTCAGAGATGAATAATTCAAATTAGAGAAATAGAAACTCAAGATTTTGCAGATCGCCGAAGAATAGTAAATTTACTTAGAACGAGGAGCTAGGTGTGGTGGTGAACAGAGGTAGAAGCTATATTGTGATGTTATGGGAACCAAAGGTAAAGAAAGGTATCAAAGATAAATGGTCATTAACATAATCATTGAAAAAAAGTTAATTGGATTTGACTAGAAGGTGGTAAAAGGGGAATCCCAGCCTTAATTCTTACACCTATATTTTTTTAATTGTTCTATTAGTCCTTTGTGTCATAATGTTTATAACACTAAGGCATCCATTTGACTATCCTGTGATTGTGTTGGACCACTCAAGTAAAAATTAGAATCATTCCTTTCCACTAATTTTCCCTCTGGACTTTCCATTTCTTTCAGTAGAAGTTATTCTTGCAGTCACTTAGGCTTCAAACCTGTGATTCATCCTGAGGTCTGCCTTATCTCCAAATTTAGTCAGGCACTATATTAGTTTCCTAGGGCTGCTGTGACAAATTACCACAAACCTTGTGGCTTAAAACAACAGAAGCTTATTCTCTCACAGTTCTGGAGCCTAGAAATCTACAGTCAGAGGGTCAGCAGAAGCATTCTTCTTCAAAAGGCTCTGGAGGAGGATCTTTTTTCATGCCCCTTGTCTAGCTTCTGGTAGTTGCTGGTAATCCTTGGGGTTCCTTAGGTTTTAGACGGTCACATCTCTCCAGTCTCTGCCTTGTCTTTACATGATGGTCTCCCTGTGTAGCTGTAGCTCTGTGTCCAGATTTCACTCCTCTTATGTAAGTTCACCAGCCATAGTGGATTTAGGGCCCACTGTA